GTGGTAATGATAGTGGTATTGGTAGTGGTAGTAGTAGTAGTAGTAGTAGTAGTAGTAAATGATGAGACTATGTTCAGTCAGTGAAACTGTCCTTAGAAAGGTGAGATTCAGAGCTGTCCACCGATATGCTATTTATCCACTGTCCGCCAAACTGCAACATAAGTAAGGATATCAGTAATAATGCAAATGATGTTACAAATGCAGATAAACTGTCAATCTGTTATTGTATCACTTTTGTCTGATTTCCTGAATTGACATAGCACGCTATTGCTGGCTCCTTTTCTTTCTTTTTTTTAACCTTCTAATGTTTTCCTTCTTTCCTTTTCACCTTCTCATCTACTATGATCTAGCTTACCGTTGGGGCACCACTGCAAATTTTGCAATCAGCTTCTTCCACAACTGTCGACTCTCTGCTTTCCGTGGTAAGATGTTCCAGTCACGGCCAGCCCACTCTTTGATGTTTTCTCCCCCTCGTTTCCTCTGTCCCCCTCTTCGTGTTCCTCATCATGGTGTTCCTTACATAGGATAGGTTTGGCCAGTCCAAATGATCGTGGGGTGTGCCCACACCACTTCACGTCTTCCGTTTACCATGCGCTTAATGACTGCTAGTGTGTCAATGTGATTTTAAAAATTGCTTTGTTTTTGTAGAGGTTTTACGACGCTCGCAACTGCATGAGGGATTTATAAAAGACGTTTTTGATTATGATAACGATAATGAACATTAGTTTAGTTCCATATTCTTTCACTAAGCCTCTAGGTTTTTTCTCGTGTGTATAAAATATAATATCTTAAACCAATATAACATTTTTTTAAAAATCATTATGCCGTTTGTCTGTGTTGTTGCCAAACCTTTATTTATTACTTTGTTGTTTTGTGTGCACAGGTAACAATATCAGTGACCACACTGGAGAGATCCTGCATGAGCTACTCACGGTAAACACTGTTTTGTTTCATTGCAATAGCCATGTAGCGTCAACCATATCATTATTAAGTGTGTGCTTCAAGAAAGTGGATATCATCGTGCAGCTGTTCATGTTATATATATATATATATTTTTGGTTAAGTATTTTACGGCGCTCGCAACTGCATAAGGTCATATGAGCGCGCGGGGCACACCAAACATTTTCTGTTAGTAGAAAATTTTGAATTTTGCCCAGGTGGCGTTCGAAGCCTACTCTTATCGATTTCAGATCACCAAGGGATCTTTAACGTGCACAACTTGCACAACTTGCACACGGGACCCTCGAGATTTTTCGCCTTTGTCCGAGAAGGCTAGGTGCAGATCTTTCCTACCAGAAGATCAGGGGTGTGGCTGAAAGACAGCAGTAAGAAGGAGCCAAGGAGTAGCTGTATAGAGGCTGCAGAAAGAGACAGGAGCCCAGTGGAGGGGGCAAAGGAGGTGGGAGGGACCTTTGAATGTAAGGCGAACGTCTTAACTTCTAGGCCACGAGAGCCCCCGTTCATGTTATAAAGTTAGATCGATTTTTTTTTAATTCTTTTTTTTAATTTGCAGATTCTTAATCTGTAGTATCGGTCACATGTAGAAATTCAAATTCTAAGTGTTGAAAAAAGCAAGAAAAAAAGCACATTATAGGCACAATAACTGTAAAAGAATGAAGTTTATTTCCATCTCTCCTGCGAAAAAAGAAAACCTTGTTTCCTGGGCTTAGAAATTTTAAACATCTTGTCGACGATATGCCTGTTATAAAGTTTTGTGACGGAGTGCAGGCTGTAATAATAATATGGTAGCAATAGGCGGATATTCGTTTAGCCATAGGGGAATTGGCGATCATAGTAGTGAGGTCTTATATAAACAAGTGTTTGTAGTGATACGTAAGGCTGTAAGTGTTTTATATTAAGGTAAAACTCTTTGATGATGATGATGATGATGATGATGATGATGATGATGATGATGATGAGGAGGAGGAGGAGGAGGAGGAGGAGGATGAACCATAGCGTACTCTTTTACTGACTAGGCCTCTGGATTTTTTTCGTGTGTATATACACACAACTGCAAACCATCAAATAAGTAAACTCTTTTGTTGCCCCCTTGACCATCAATAATTTCCTTTTTTAAAGACTACGTTTGACAGCTGCAAAAATCTTGAATGGCATTACTATGGTTGCTCATGAATGGTACAAATAGGTAAAACAATTGCATTGTTATCACTTTTACCACCAGTATTTCTTTTTCCTAAATTGCTCTTCAAATGTGCTTCTGTGGGTGCGTTTGTTTCGGCATCTTTCTCTGTCTACCTTCCTCTCTCTGACACGCACGCACACTTATACACCACACACA